TTAGAAATTAGGGTTAGTATTTATAATAAAAAAGTATATGTGGATTTTAGTAGCTGTTAGGGATTTAAATGAGAACCTCAAATCTCAGCATAAGCCGCCACATTTGTTATTCGGAATCATTATGTGAGGAATAGCTGGGCCAAGATACTTTTTTTTTTGTTATAAATTTAAAATTGATCTTGCAATAAAGATTTATAATAGGTTGCGATTAGATTTTATTTTCGAAATTTCTAATTAATTACAATTAATTTAAATTGCGATGACTTATACTTTGGCAATAAAATTAAGCAATCATCCTGAGACCTTTGAAAATAAATTTTCTACTGAATTCTAATACAAGTGGTGTAAAGAGAAATTTGTATATTTAGTTAGTCGGATCTGGATCTTTTTATCCGAATCCGAATTTGAACAAAGATCCGATTTGGTTTTTCGGATCGGATCCGTATCTTTAAAAATATCAGTCCGATCCGGTCCGTGCGGAGCACTAATATAAAATAAATTACCCGAGCAATTGATTGACACAAATCAAACTAGTTTTTTCCTTTGTTTGGCAGATCATAATTAGGCAACTTATCCGTTTTTACTTTCTGGTAAATTCTGTAAACGCAAAGAATAATTAACATCGATCGGATGAAATTTAACACCTTATAATCGTAAAACATTCAAATTATATAAATTTAGTCAACTTTAGAGATGTTTTCAATAGTAGGAGACGAGAAAACTTCTGTTTCTTCAACCTCAAGTTCTTTATCTCGAACCGCAAGTCCATGTCCAATTTCTGCGGATGAAGAGGCTTTCTTAGAATGCATCGAGGTTATCGAATCCAACTTAGGAGATACTAATATTATCAATAAAGTTAGCAATAAAGAAAAAAAATGGTGGACCGATGGGAATTATAAGGTTATCGATGAAAAAAGGTAGTATTTATTTGTACATCAGTTTTCTATTTTCAATGCTAAAGCTTTGCCTATTTGTTAGACTACCTCTGCGCCTAGTAGAAAATGCGACATACCATGATTATGAGGAAAAGAGTGAAATTGCAAATGCAGGCAGATTTTGGGAGTTTGATGACGGCGTTGTTATCATATTTGAGTTACCAAATCGTGATCATGAAGCCGCACACGGAGAATTCACATTTCAATTTATGTCTGCTTTTAACAATCTGTTATTTCAAGATCGCGTTTTTAGTATTGAAGCAACGAGTATGTATCTTAGAAATGGCATAAGGCGCCTTCTTATGTATGGTGTTTTGATCACGTATAAAATATTATTAATTCCATTATGTCCAGCTTGTCTTGGTTCGGGACGAAGTTCTGCCAAACAACCTGATGCTTCATTTGTGCCCAATCGCTTACCTAGGCCATCCCTTAATCCAAGTGATTCTCAGGTATAATGTA